CTGGTCTGCCCACAGGCAGGGGCTAAGGTTGGAATGGGGCTCTAATGCAGGATCTGTATCTTTGAGCAAGAAAGGGTCCTCCCAATTGCAGGTCTGGAAAACACCCCCAGGGCATGTGACCCATCAGCCTGCTGCACAGAATGAGAAGCAGAAGAGAACCCGCCTGTCAGCAGTATTGGAATTCTGACCTGTCTGAATTCCAAGCAAGGTGCCTGTCACAGGTGTGCCTCAGAAGGCTGGGCACAGAGCTGGTTCTTAGCAAGTATTTTTAGACCTGACAACAAAGCTGGGGCGAGAGGGAGTCTTGCTGGTATAATCATTTTAATAGGCATTCAAAATACTTTCTGGGCGCCTGTGTACCAAGTCCCGGATACAGAGACGCAAACTCTCAATGAGCCGCTGCCTACGGGGCACAAATGGACGGACTGTGCTGGCCCTGGCACAGGTGCGCGAGAGAGGAAAGCACAGGGCGTCGGGGGCCTCAGCTGGGTCCTGAGGGACGAGGAGGCCCTGGCCCAGGAAGCAGAAGTGACTGCATGGGCCCAGGACAGGGCCGCAGAGGGCACAGCCTCTCGGGGCGGTGAGCCCTTCAGTCTCTAAGAGGGCAGGCCAGTGATCATCATCCACGGCGCAGACGACAGAACAGTCCTGCAGTCCAGCCACACAGGCTCCCGGAAGCCAAAGGGCATGAGCCCGAGGCCTGGCCTGTGCTGGGTGGTGGGGAGGGACAGCCCCAAAGGGCAGGGAAGGATGTTTGAGGCAGGAGGAATTAATGCATACACCTGGGTCTTTCTAAGGCCAGCAGCTTTACCAAGATTTGAAGGCTAGCACTAGCTTTGCTGGAAAAGAAATTACTGAAGATCGAGACCCCCTGCAAAATGATACAAGGAAATGCTGAAGGGACAGAATGCAGAGAGAAGCTTTCAGTGGAAGCAGGTAAGGAGCTACATTTAGAATACTACACAGTAACTTTTATTGGTAACAGAATCGCCCATCAGTAAGCAACACCCCTCACTGTGTGCGGTACCGAATTAAAACTGTGTAACAATTAGGCAGACACAGTTTCAGATTATCGAAAACAGGCCAGGCCATGTCTCAATCACCTGTAAAAGGAGAGAGGAGCTTGGGTAGGCTGGAGGGAGAAACCAGGACTGCTCACATGTGACCCCTGCCAACAGGTCCTTGTGCAACACCCAAGGGAGACTGATAAGGTCACACAGCCAGGTGGGGGGGGACATAACCGCCACAGGACAGAATGAGATCTTGTCTTGGGTGCCCTAAGTGAGGAGCATGTTCCTTCAGAGGCAAAGATAACTTCTAACAGCCCACTGTGCACTTATCTGAAGGCCAGACCAGCCCTGTGGGGCCCTGTGCCACCTGAGGGCAGAGAGAGGCTCCTTTTGCAACATGGGCCTTTCCCCACCCTCTCCCCCTCAGCCCCCAGGTGTGGGAGGAAGACGGGAGGGCACCACACACTTGCTCCTCAGCATCGAGAGTCTTTCCAAAGTCCTGCTTACTGCTAATGCTGATGTACCACACAGAGATTGGGGTCCTAGAAGCACAGCAAGGGGACCTCAAGAATTCCACAACTTTGAATCGGTCTCTGGGTCTGGAAAACACTTTTTTCAGAGATCTAACTATAAGAATGCTCTGAGGGGACCAACCCTCAGTCTAGAGGGAAACTGGATCCTTTGAGATGAGTGACAATCTGGGTTTCCCAAAAGGCACATAAAGCCATGAGACAGGAAGGCCCCTGGCATCAATCATCTGATTTTGCACCTTTAGAATCTTACATTTCGCTGTTTACTATAACCAACAAACTCGGGCCCTATGAGAACGAAGAAGCCCATGATCCTGCCCCCAGGCCCCAAAGGCAAGGGCTTATGAATCAGACTTCCTTTACCTCACCCATCCTCTGTTGTATGGACATAAAACATCAGGTGCCTCCAGGCTTCTCTTGCTTACTCCATACGCTCCTATGGGGAGGCCCACCCCAGTCCCTGTGGCTTCAGCACGACCGGAAGGAGTCCCACACACGTTCTCGAGCCGAGGACGTTCTCCTTGACTCGAGACTAATGTACATCCACCCACCATTGGGAAGCCTTACTGACCTCCAGCTTAGCATCTCCACACTGAAAGTCGTCACCTGCCCCCAAGCCAGCTTCCTTCCGGCACCCCATGTGCGTGGCATGGCGCTGCCAACTGCTGTCACCCGCTCTTGGAGCGTTCCCTATGCCTCCGTTCTCCCTGGCCCTTCCCCTCCCTGCAGCCACCTGTCCCCCAGCACCCTTCTTCTGTGCTGGGCCTACGTCTGGCCAGGGAGGCTTCTGTGGCCCCTTAATGGCTTCCAACTCAGCGCAGGCCTTCACCACCCAACACGGCTACCGCTGCCCCCTCACCCATGGAGAAGGCGATCTGGTCAGTCACTCACAAACCCGAGGTCCCTTGGGGGCTTCCCACTGCTCTCAGGGTAAAGTTCAAACCTGAGCCTGGAACTCAAACCCTCTTCCCAATCTGCCACCAGCCTCGCCTTCCCTGACCACCAGAGTTTCCCAAGGCCCTTCCTGCAACAGCAGGGTGCAAGGTAGCCGTGCCCTTCTCCCTGCAAACATAACACGCACCGTCCCTTTGCCTGGAAGTCTCTTTCCCTCACACGATCTCGCCACATCTATTCCTTCTTCAAAATTTAGCTCAAGTCCTTCCTAGGAATCCCTACTGAAAGCCAGCCGGAGGCTACTGCCCTCTCTCCCCAGCAAACTCTGTCCATGTCTGCAGGCACGCAGCGGCTCACCTCCTCCCTGCACCGTAACCTCCAGCGCAGAGGCTCCCACAGCGTTGCGGCCACAGAACAGCACGGGGCCTCCTTGTGCGAAGGGAAGTAGGATTTCGATAACTTTGTGTTGAAAGCATAATGAAAACCACTGAATAAAGAATTCAAGTGGATTCTTAATAAAATGCCTGAGGTTTTTTTTCCCCCCTTTATCTCCCTTTGGAAAGTGACACTCGTAACAGCCACTGAAATTGCTGCTTTGAGTTGAAAAGGGCTTCTTTCTTCCATGGAGAGAGTTGTCATAACAGGAAAGGTATGCTTCAACAGGTAAAACATTGAACAGGGTAAACGTTAAGTGCTTTTTTATAACCTGCTTCATTGTTCTTATGTACTTTAAACCAGAAACCATCTAAAAGCAAACACTTAAATATGTTTTCTGAGTTGGCTCAGATCGTAACTGGAATTAGGAGCAACACAGTGTACCCAAGGTCACTTGGCCTGCTGGACAGTGTTGGCAGGTGTGCTGAGGCCCACCTGCAGGTGAACTTGGAGACTCAGGAGGTGAATTTTATTACTGTTATGAAAAGCCTGTCCAGATGACGCCTACGTTCGCCGAAGGTCACCCTTAACCCAGATGAAAACTACCGCACTAGCTTTAGCACCTTGGTTCATTTCAACAGCCATTCAGAGAGAACCACCTGCCCACTCCATGCCAGACAATAGGGGAGCAAAGATGAATGTGACGTGGCTCTCGCCCTGCTCGCAGGGAGAGACAAGCTTCTAAACAGAGCACTTGCTACCCAATAAGCGCTCCACGTAAAGGCTTTATCTGAGGGCTGAGAAGATTACTTGAGGACCAATCTTCAGAACAAAAGAAGTGCATGTGGGGCTTGCACCACTGGCTAGGGCTAACTGCGAAACCTTTCTGAGATTTCTTGATCTCTTCTTATTTGGGTTTGCTTCTCAGAGCCTGTATCCCTTCAAATGAATAGAACCTGCAAGCTTGTCTCCAAGACTATTAAGCAAACAATTACAGGTGTCTGCTATGAGCCCTAACCCTCAAGTGGAGGGAACAGCTACATCTGTGGAATAATAGGGTTTTTTGTTTGTTTGTTTTGGGGGGGTTGTTTGTTTTTTTGTGATTGCCCCGCTGACACCTGAGCAAACATACATCAAAATAATGAAAACCACCTTCAAGTGCCCCTATTGGCCCCAGAAAAGCAGACGGACTCCTGACTAGGAATAAAAAACTGGGGAAACATCGAAACACCAGCATCACAACCACAGCCACACTGGCCACCAGGCCTGTGCCTCCCGCGCGCACCGCTATCTTAACAGTCTACTTGTGCCTCCCCATAGCCCAGGTGGCTCTTAGACAACCTTTGGCCTTTAATGTCAGTGGCAATCCAGGAGCCCCAAAGCGTCTGTTCCTGTACGGAGTGAGGTCATCAATGAAAACCTGTAGCCAGGCCACCAGCACCCCTGCCCAAAGAAAACCGTGACCGGGTGCAGCCTATCCCTGACCTCCAGCTGTGCTTATTCAAGGCTCGGAAAGCACAGTGCCCGGGGCCCTGCGGAAATGCTTCCTTCTGCCGGCAAGGCCTGGAGGACGGCTGCCGCCTGGCACAGCAGCCACGCCAAGGGCTCCGAGGCTGGGCACATAGATACCTAAGCGGCAGGTGGGCGGGCGTGTCATCCTGGGGCAATAAGAGAGCCGAGAGGAAAGCAGTTGCAGGTCTTCAAGGACAGAACGTTATCAGAGAATCTGTTGCAATTTCGAGTCCAGAAGAGGATTTCCTACCCCGCAGAGCCGGAAAGTGCCGCGAGAAAAGAGTGACACAGGAACAGCTCTTTCCGACGCTTCGCCCTGGGCCCGCCGCAGACCTTGGAGGGTCGGGGGCGCCGGCCCTGCCCCCGGGGTGGGCGTCCAGCGGCGCGGAGGTGGGCCCCGGCCCCGGGCGCCCCCCGCCCGGCTCTCGGTCCGCGGGGCCCGGCCCGGGGAGGGTGGGCAGGACCGGGCGGGGACGGCCGCGGGCCCCGGGCGCACCGGCTCCGGACCCCCGACCCGCGCCACGGCCGGCCCCCACGCGCCGCCTCGGATGGAGGCCCCGCAGCCCTGCCCCACGTCCCCTCCCTCAGCACGCCCCCGCTGCGGTGACAGCCGGCGACCCGGCCCCCCGCCGCGCCGTCACGCCCCCCCCGCCCCCCGCCGCGCGGACCGCGCACCCACCTCCGCCCGCCGCGCCGCGCCGCGCCGCTTCTCCTCAGCTGGCGGTGCGACTGAGCGCGGGCCTTTCTGCGCACGCGCTCATGCGGCCCCGCCCCCGCCAAGCGCGCGCCGCCGGCTGCCCACCCCAGGCGCCCGCGGGTCTCGGCCGCGGCGGGCTCTGGGCATGCGCGCTGGCGCCCCGCCGCAGCGCGGCGTGAGTTTGCGTCTGCCGGAGTCGGGTCCCTGCGCTGGGGGGCGCGGGCTCGCGCGCCGGCCCCTGGGGACGCGAGCCGAGTGGGCGGGGGATGCTGTGTCCAGCCAAAGGCAAGGCTGGGGGCGCCCGGAGCCGAGCGGGCTGCCAGCCAGAGTCGCCGCCCCTACGGGTCACGCGTAGACCTGGGAACGCGCGTCTGCGTGGACACGACGTCCGGTCCCGAGCGGGCGGAGAAGGGGCGCAGGGGGTCCTCCGGGCGGGACCTGAGCGGTGGAACCCTGAGGCCGAGGCCGAGAGAGACAGCCGGACGGAGACAAGACAGGGACACAGCAGGCCAAGAAAGAGGCCGAACGCAGGCAGAGACGCAGCGGGGACAGGGACACGGACGCCCAAGCGGCAGAGACAGGGCAGGCGGAGGTGACAGGCGGGACAGACGGGGACCAGAGGCTGCAGTCCTCGCTGGGGGAGGAGACACAGCGCCCTCTGCGGGTCCTGGCAGGGGGCGGGGGAGCCAGTGCCACCGAGCCCCCGGGGGTCCACAGGCGTCCGTGGTGGCCACGGTGCCTCGTGGGGAGTTAGAGCACTCTCTGGAGATCAGAGTCCGTGATGAAGCGATCGCAGCCCCTGGGGTGTTTTCAGACCTTAGATGGGTCCTGGCATCACAAGGGGGTTCATATCTGTTGGGAGAGGGTCACAGTGCCTTTTAGGAAGGTGAGAATGCTCTCTGAGGGATCACGACATCACAGGTGGGGGAGGCACAGCGGCCCTTAGGGTGTTCGCAGAGCCCGGAAGTGTTGTTCGGCCCCACAGGGGGCTCCCAGCCTTGTGGGACTATCACAATGTCCCTTGGAGGGGTAAGAGAATGCGAAGGTGGGTTGACAGCTGCCCAAGGGAGCCTGGACGCAGCTCAGCGGCTATCACATCCCTCTGTGTTGGGGTGGGGTGTCGCTGCGTCCGTCACACCCCTCCCAGGCATGGGCGGGTGGCATCGAGGGAGTCGCTGGGCAGGGTCGGGGGAGGGCCCAGATGGCGACGCGCGCGACGCCAGCAAAGACTCCTCTGCAGGCGGATGCACTGGATGAACGTGCGCCTCAATGTGGAAGCAGCGCCCCGCCCGCGCTTAGGGCTCAGGCCGTTCCGCAGCGCCCCCGCCGCTCACGCCGCTGCAGCCTCCGCAGGCGCCGCGTCCACGCATCGCGCCAGGGCAGCACGAGGCTCCCGCGGGAGGCGCTGAGCCCGGGCCCCCGACCCCCGACCGCGGTCCCTGGCCCGCCCCCAAGCAGCAGGTAGCGGCGGCCCGGCAGCAGGCGCGGGCAGCCGCAGGCCGCGTCCCGCGCCGGCACCCACAGCGCGCTGCTCCCTCGCCTCGCGCGCTCCTCGCCGCTCCGGAACACTGCAAGCACGGCCACCGGGAAGCGCGTCCACGAGCCGCGCGCCTCGCCGCGCGCGCCCACCGCCACCTGCACCGCTGCGGGGAGGGCGAGAGGGGGCGGGGTCAAGCGGGGCGGAGCCGTCAGGGGGCGGGCGGAGCGGAGGAACGCTGCGCGCCCGCGGTGTGGGGAGGGGGGCACAGAAGGGACAGTCAACGCTGGGGTGGAGGTGGGCAACGAGAGGCCACCGGGCGCTGACAGGGCGGGGCCAGCGACAGTGGGAGGCCCAGGGAGGGAAAGGGCAAGGTGAGAAGGTGAGGGTAGGAGGCCTACCGTAGTCCTTCCTGCAGAATTTCTTCAAGCTGATGCGGTAACTACCCCGGGCTGGTTTGCAGTGCGCGTCGCAGTCTGGAGGGCGTGTGGAGGCTGGCACAGAACAATCCCCACCTCCCTACCCCACCCTTTCCACCTCCCCTCCTTGAACCCATAGCCTTCCCCCCACAGTCATGCCAGTCTGGGATCCGGTTCTGTGTCCACTCACCCTGGGGCTCCACAGGGCTGCTCTCCTCAGTGGGTCCAGGCACAGGAATCTCTGCGGACAGGACAAGAGAACGGCCTGCGCTGGAGGGGGAGCATTTGCAGGGCTCAGGGGATGAGCAGGTAGCAGCAGGGAGCTGGTGTGGCCTCCGCTGAGGTGGCTGAAGGAGGGCAGGGTCACTCACTAACACAGGGGGCCACCGGAGAGCGGCTCTGCTGGAAGCCAGGGGCGCAGCGATTGCAGGTGAGGCCAGTGACGCCATCCTTGCAGGGACACTGGCCTGTGGTCTGGTTGCAGGTCTTGCCAGCGGCACCAACAGGGTGACAGTCACATGCTGAGGACAGAGTCGGGATGGTTAGAAGCCCACGTGGGGATGCGGGGAGCAAGAAGGTGAGGATGTGCAGGGAGCTGGTGGCAGGCTCACCCCTGCAAGCGCGGCGGTCGCTCAGGGCACGCCCTGGGTCGCGATAGAAGCCCTCCCTGCAGTAGTGGCAGTGGCGGCCAGCGGTATTGTGCCGGCAGTTGAGACAGACGCCACCACTACGACGGCCAGACAGTCGGTACAGCTCCATGTTGAAGCGGCAGCGGCGGGCATGGCCATTGCAGGAGCAAGCTGCAGGAAGGGATGGGTCAGGGGCAGGCTGGCCCGGTCCAAGATCCCCAGGCCACCCTCCAAGGCCTCACCAAGGCAGGCGTGGGCTTCCCGGGCCGTGGCCCGCTGCCATGGCCTGTCGCAGTAGAAGGGCTTGCAGCGGCCGCAGTCGGGGCCCTCGGTGCCATGCTGACAGTCGCAGATGAGGTGGCCCTGGGTGTCCAGCAGGCACCTTGAGGCATGCCCATTGCACTTGCAGCGCCCGCCCACCTGGAGCTCAGTAGCCGAGTAAGAGTAAGGGACCATGGCCATGGAGTCCCTGGTGTCCTCCAGCATGGCAGGCCTTGTGAGCACTACTCGAATGTCTGTGGCAGTCACCCAGTCTTGGAGCACTGGGCTGCTGTCCAGATCCAGGCCTGGTGGGCTTCCGTCCTGCACGCTGAAGGCCAGAAGGCCGCCACCATCAGGCTGGACCTGGGGCTCAGGGAAGCACAGAGCTTCAGGCCCTGGGCCGGGTGGGCCATCCGCAGGGGCAGGCAGGCGGCCATAGTCCAGGCCACAGCGGGAGGAGAAGAAGCCCAGTGGGGCCCAGCTGCCGCCGTGATCCTGTGACTTGAGCAGGGCCACCGAGGCCGGGGGCGCCGAGCAGAAGCGCAAGCTCACGAACACCAGCTCAAAAGCCTTGCCCAGGGGCACTGTGAGGGTCACGTTGTGGGGCGCCTGTGTCAGTGAGTCGGAACGCCAGCACACAGGGCTGGTGGTGCTCCCTGCGGAGGTCAGGAGGGCGGCGGGGTGTGCCCGCTTCGGGTCCGAGGCATCACAGGCCCGCGTGGCCGGCCGGCCGCACGTGCTGGACGCCAGAACCTCGCGGCCCAAGGCGGCGTTCACCAGGCCGGGCACGCAGCCGCGGGGCGCGCCCCCGTCGTCATGGCAGGGGTCGGCGGGCGCTGGCGGCCCCAGGCTCAGCGCGGTCGAAAGCGTGCCCGCGGTCAGCAGCAGCCCCCAGGGCCAGCCGGGCATGGCCGGAGCCGCGGTGGATCAGCCAGCCCGCCGGGCCCCACGCCGCTGCCCTCGGGGAGAGAGAGCCCGGATCCGGGGCTCTGCCCGCTGGCCCGCAATGCCGAGCAATCCCGGGAGGCCCCAGCCGGGGCCAAGAGGTGGGAGCAGCCGCGGGCACGCCCCGGGCCAAGCGCAATAGCGGGGATGCTGGCGCGTCGTCCCGCTGGGCCTGGAGCGATGACAGGAGTCGCCCCCGCTCCCGGCGCCTCCGCCCGCGGAGGCCCCACCCGTCGTCCGCCGCTGCACTCACCCACCGAGGGCCGGGTCGAGCAGGTCTCCCGGCCTCCCGGGAAGGGCCGAGGGCGGGCGGGGCCTGGGGCGCCCCGGCCGCCGCCTCCTCCCGGCTGTAGCGAAGGCGGGCGAGCTGTGCCAGGAGGGGGTGGGGGGCGCAGTAGGCGCAAGCCTGGGCCCAGCCGGGGGCGGGGCTGCTCGGGTCGGGAAGGAGGGAGGGGAGGGGAGGGGAGGGGGCCTCGTCGGCAGAGCCGGAATCAGAAGCAGATTCAGACACTGGCTGGGCCAGCGGGGGAGGGGGCTGGGAGGCCCGGGAGCCGGGGGAGGGGCCGGGGAGCCAGGAATGCGCTGGCGGGAGGGGTCTGGAAGGGGCGGCTCAGCCACGCAGCCCGTGGGGGACCACCCAGCAGGGTCCCCGGCCTGCATCCAGGCCCTGACTGCTCCTGGGGCTGTGCCACGTGCTGGGCGGGGGTCTGGCCGCCTCCTCCCTCAGGCCCATCTGGCAGGCTAAGCCCTGCATCTGAAGGCTGGTGCCCTGATGCTCCCCTGGGTCTCTACAGGGAACACTCAGGGCTGTAGCAGCCAAGCAGGGCTGGTGGTTATGGGATGTCCCCAAGCAGTGGTCTGCTCTAGTAGAAAAAAACCCCACAATTGGGACCAGGTCTGATTTTGAATCCAAGCTGCTCCAATTTCTGGCTCTGTGGTTCAGGCTCCTTAACCTGAGATTTATTTTTTTCATTGGACTGTTACTCAACTTTGCTGAGCCATTGGTGGGGGGGCGGGGAGGGGACAGTTGATAAGCCGCAAAGGTATTGGATGCAGCCAGGGCCTCCACTGACTTGAGTCCCTCTTGCTCTATGTTCAGGAAGGATGTGTCCTCCGGGTCTGACTGGAGCTCACCTAAGTAATGAAATTGGCATATCCGACCCAGATCAGGCCAAACCCTTGTCCCAAAGCATCTCTGGGTCTCTATCTAGTTGCATCACCAAGATGGGGCCAGTCCCCAGAGCTGGCAGGGAGAATGCAGAAGCTGGAGTGGGGGAGAGCCTACTAATTAACAGGGCCCCATGGGGCTCAGGGTCTTGGTCAGCAGTCGAGGACCCCTGTGGAGGGTAGGGAGTGGAGTTTGGTCCATGGGGAGGGCCTGGTCACAGACAGCTCAGTGTCAGACCCCCTGAGCCTGGTCCACATACCAGCAGGTTTGGGTAGAGAAACTGAGGCAGGAACTCAGCTGGGCAGTCTGGGCACCAGCTGGGGATGAGGCAGCTGCAGCTGAGAGTGATCCAGCCAAGAGAGACCAGAACTGCTCTGGATAGACGCCACTTCCCTACAACCATTAAGCCCTTGATGGAGGGGCAGGGCAGCATCCCAGGAAGGGTCAGCTTTGTGCAGAGGGGGCAGGGACACGGGAACATGTCTGACCTGGGAGAAGTTGTGAGGTCTGAAGTTTCAGATGGGAGGCTGACTAGGCCAGGCCTGGCAGCTGATGGAGGATGCCACGTGGGTGTGTCTGGGTAGGCAGAGCTGCCTCTTGCAGCTGGGCCAGAGATACTGCAAGGACCCACAAGAAGAAGGTAGAGAGAAGCAGAATCTTCTTGCTGTTTAGGAGAGGAGGGACAGGAGGACACTGGAGCCTCCCAGGGGAAACCAAAGGAGAAGAGGATGGAGCAGCCAGGAAGATAGGGTGATGGGGCACCTGAAGTGACTAGCACTTTCTGGTCAGGCCCTCACAAATGTAAGGGTGGGGGGGTGAGGTGCAGGGGCTGATGAGATCATGGGAGACTTGGGGAGAATTGAGTCAGAGGGGCTGCTGGCCTCGCTCCCCTCGCCTTTGGCAGCAGCAGGGAGTCTGTGGGTCTCCTCTGCCCCACAGAGCAGGTGCCATGGCACCTAATCTCAACTTTGAGATGAAAAGAACATGCACCTTACAACAGATAGCCGTGCATGAATGAGGGAGCTGACAGGGAGCCCAGTATGCTCCAGCACGAGTTAAGTTCAAAAACGGCATCTTCCCAACCACCCTCTTCAAGGTCCTTCTGATCATCAGCCTCAGCCTGGGATGAGCGGAGCCCTGGCAAGAGAGTACCGGCTGCAACAGATCCTTCTGGGATCGTTAGAAGCTAAGAGGTGACTAGCTGGCCACGGTGGGGAGAGATGCCCAGGCCCAACACAAGGGTTCCACAGAACCTGAGACGAGCCTCCAGGGAGCCCCTGGTTGTCTGGACTTCAAGACTCAGGAGGGAAGACAGGAAATTGGAAATCAGGGAGCAGCCTCCCCTCCAACCCTGTGTCAGACTTGCAGGCTTTGTCTGCAGCCCAGCCTCCTCAGGAGTTGGGGCTAAGGTCTGCAGAACATCTGGTGGTTTGTGGTGTGGGTGGAAGGAGGCCCCCAGGGCTCAGCCTGCTGCATGCATGAGTGTTCATCCGTTTTAGCAAGCAGGGAGCTCTGGGCCCAGAGGTGGTGGTACTACCAGCTCCCCAGGGAAGAGGCTGCAGGCAGCCCGGTCTCTTCCCCCAGAACTGCCCCCTGCACACATTCTCTTCTGGCCCCAAGGATGGCCCTGGCAGATGGCCTGCTGAGAGGGAGGGAGGGCCTTCTCCCCAGTCCCCAGTCCAGGCTCATTGCACCTGTCCCCAGCCTCTGGGGCCTCTCACACCTCTCCGCTGGTCCTGCCCCATCCTGGCACCTTAGAAGAGACTCCGCCTCCCTGCCCCCACATGCACCTCATCAGCCCACTGCAGTCCTCCCACTCCCACCCCCAGTCACAGTGACAGCTGCTGGCTTTGGGGGAACCTATCTGGGGAGGAGGGGACCCAGGGGGCCAGACATTCCCAGGCCTCCGGCGGCTGGGGTCTTTTCCTTAAAAGGCAGACTGATCCAACACTCCTGGCCCAGCCCTGTTCCCTCCAGACGTTTGCAAGCCACTACTTGTACACATTTCACACAAACATTTATTGAGAGTCTATTATGCCGAGAGGGGCTTCCAACCCAGCAGGGAAGACAGACGGCTGGGGGAGGGGAGCACGGCAGGCTTCACCCCGAGGAGGGTGGCCCCTGCCGAGTCCGCGGCCATCCTGCACCCTGCGCTCCGGGCAGGGCCCCCGTGCCACGCAGGCCCTCTCTGTGGTCGCGACCCGCTCTGCGCGCCAAGCAGAACGCTGAAAAGCAACGTTGAGAGGAGTGGGGAGAGGAGAGTCCGAAGAGCAGAGGGAAATGGCTCGTAGCCCCCACCCCCTTGGCCTCCTAAGGGCTTAAGAAGGAACGGTCTGAGGAGGGGGCTTCCGCGTCCCACGCGCTGTGCTGTGCGCGCCCCGCGGGGGGCGAGGTCCGGAGGGAGGAGGCATCCGGCTCCCGGTGATTTCGCTGGGGAGGGGGCCGCGCGCGCGCGGGCTCAGGACGTCCCCGGTTCCCGCGGCCCCGCGCGCCCAGCCCGCCGCTGCCGCCGACCGCGCCAGCACAGGAAGGCGGCGGCCAGGAGCCCGAGGCCCGCGCCCAGCGTGGTCAGCGCCACGCCCTGCTCCAGGTCCAGGTGGGGTCCGCGCAGCGAGAAGGTGATGGCCGTGGCGGCGGCGCCGGCCAGCAGGGTCACGGCGCCGAACGGCAGGACGCAGCGCGGCCAGGAGCCCCCCACGCCGCCGGTGGCCAAAAGCAGCGCGCGCAGGGCCCCGGGGGGCTCGGGGGGTGCGGGGGGCGCGGGGGGTTCGGGGGGCTCGGCAGGCGCCGCGGGCGGGGGCTCGGGCGCGCTCATGCCGCCGACGGGGGGCCGCGCTCTGGGTGGGTGTGGGCGCCCGCGCAGCCCCCACTCTCGTCCTCCTCGACCGCCACGTCAGAGCGGATTGGCCCGGGATGCGATGACGCCACCGGGACGCTGGGGAGAGGAGTTCGCCGCCGCCTCCCGACTTTGGCGCTGAATCAGGGTGGGCGGGCACGAATCTAGAGGGGGGCACTCACCCAGGCCTCTGCCCTCCTTCTCCCTCAGGCTCCGGGCTGCCCCTTCCTGCCGAGGTGCGGGCAGCCCTCCAAAAGACACCACCGGGACTGGTCCTGATAGGTGGGTCACTGAGTCCACAACCTTCAGGCACCCATCTGGGCCTTGCTAGGAACCAAGGTGAACAGCACCCCTGCCCTCACGGGGCAGAGGTCCAGTAGGGAAGGTACACCATAAACCAAGTGAGCTGGCGGATTAAATAATTATGGTGGAGACCACTAGCTATGGAAACTGATTTTGGCCAGTGACAGGGTGGTGGTGGGACTCACCCTGGAAATGAAGGGTTCCTCAAGATCAGAGCAACTGGGCATGAGCCCTGGAAGCAGCAAGGGAGTGGCCAGGAGGGGGTAGGCGTCCCCCAGGCTTCCCATCTCTTGGCTCCCCCTTCCCTGTTCCTGTCCCAGAGCTCTTTCAGTCCCTACAGGCCCCTCAGTGCAATGAGGACTGTTTTTAGGTTTCCTACTTTGGTCTGTCATCTGGTTCCCAGCAGCCTGCAAGACGCGAGATTCCATGTTCAAGGTTTCTGGCCTGTGGGACTGTGGTGGCTTTTACAAGTAGGATTTCCTGCTGGGGGCCCTGGGGCCACCCCAAGGCTGCCTCAACATCACTCACCTCATTCCCCATTCCTGTGACACCTCACCTGGCTCTCAGAAAACCTGGCCTTCTCCAGAAGCTACCTGGTCCGGGGCCTGGGTCCCCTTGGGGCAGAGGCTGGTGCTAATTCCCTGTTGCTCATCGCTAGCTACGCAAAGGGCCAATGACCCAGCTCTGAGGATTTGCTTGATTGGCACAGGTGCCTAGGCAAGGTTTACTTAAAGAACACTACAGCCTCCTAGCCCTCCCCAGGGCCTACTACTGTGTAATTTGTCCTCGCCCTAGCCACAGCGGTAATAGCTATTACTGTTGGCACGTGGGCCCCTCGGGAGCCTTGCAGGTGTCATCTGCAACTGGCTGAACATGCAGAGGGCAGGCAGAGACTGAAGCAAGAGGTGGGCCCCTCCAGGTGGGTAGGCGGCAGGGTTCCTAAGCAAACGGAACTTACATCCCTGCACCTGCCCGCCAGAGCCTAAAAGGTGGTGTCGGGAGAGGCCCATACCAGTGTTCTCAGAGCCACATCACTATCTCAGGGCTGTGTCCCGGGAGCAGCCTCTGGGAGTGAAAAGGCCAGTGGAACCCACATTCCCAGGACAGGGGAGGGCGTGAGGAACCTCCCGTGGCCCAGATCCAGCTCCCGGGGCAGCGGGTGGTTGCGTCTCTTCAATAACCTCTCCCAGCAATTACCCCCAGTATGACAGTGGGGACGAAACTGAGAATTGAGGCTCAGGGCCCTTAAGAATCTTGCTGAAAGTCCCACAGCAGAAATCAAGTCACAGTGGAAACCCAAACCTGTGACTGGTATAAACCCAGAGGCCATGACCTTCTTGCCTTCCTTCAGCGGGGGAGGCTGGAGCCTTGGAGGTGACAGTGGCGTAGGTGAGGGGCGAGTTCCCTGGTGGTAAGTCAGTGTTGGGGGGCCCACACTGGCCACAGCAACAGCCCAGGAGAAGTGGTGAGCACGGGTGCTAGAAGGACCGCTGTGACCACATAGTGCCCGCCCACTCTGATATGGGCTGGTGGCTTTTGTGTCTTCCAGTGAGCCCGGTCCAGGCGATTGTGGGGAAGGGTTTCAGGTGTGCTAGGGCCCAAGCCTGAGGGGAGTCCCCAGTGCTGCTCCCCTTCAGTGTCCTTCCCCTCCCTTCAGTACAGAAGGTCTATGTGTGTTCTCAATAAATATGATAAATATGCTTGCTATGTTCTTGGTAAGCAAAAACACAAAGAAAAAACCAAACACACCAAGTTCCATCTTACACATATACTTTCTAAAGTAGTTTTAATGTCACACAAGCGGCTTGTAAGTCTGAAGCAAGAAAAAACAGAGGTAGCTAAGAAAAAAGCCCAGCAGGCCTCTGGTCTCCAAGCCTGCAGAAGGCCAGGCCAAGCCAAGCGGAGGCCTGACCACTAGCTTTGGGGCCCTGGGCTCCTCAAGAAGATCCAGGGGGCTGTCCCCAATCCACCCGGGGAACCCTGGTTTCCCAGGGGGGTATAGCCATCTCTGGGCCCCCAGGCCCACCACATCAAAAATCCTCTCAATCCCCGTTCACCTAATAGGGTACTGCTCTCCCAGTCGTCTGGGTCAGAACGAGCTCACCCTCCTGCCGGGGTCCGGCGGCCTGGGAAGGGGGCAAGGTACAGGGCTGCTGGCCATGGGAAGAGCTCAGTCGGCAGGTTCATCTCGAAGGATGGTGAGGAAGCGCTCCCCTCCCTCACAGAGCAGGCTATGCACAGCTCGGCAAAGCACCAGCCAGGATGGCCCCTGTGGGTCCCGTGTGCTCACCAGTGGGAGGAGTTCAGCCATCAGGACCTAGGGGGTAATGCAGGGCCAGGATCTCAGTGGGGGCCCTGTCCCTGGCAGCTAGCTGAGGGCTTGCAGAAGGCCCCCACAGCAGGGCAGTTCCAGGGAGGGCTTCAGGCACCATGGCCAGCCCCTTCTTCCTTCCAAAGCTCTGCTCCTGGGCCAGGGCTGTTGGCTGTGCACAGCCTGGAGGCTCCGTCTGCTGGATGGGCCCAAAGCCCACCACTCCCCCCGGGCACCCAGTCACCTAGTCCCTACCCCCTTACTCGGGCTGTACCTTTTCCAGGTGGATCTGCTGCTCTAGCATGGCCACCCGCAGCCTGAGGGCCGCCAGAGTCTGCAGCTCCTTGGTGCTGGAGTAGAGAAGAAGCTGGGGGCTCCAGCTAGGGTCTGTTCTTCCTTCACAGGGCACTGAGGCTCTGGGGCATCTCCCCTCAGGCCATGGCCCCAGCTGCTGTCCCGCCACCGCTGTGACGACAGGGGGATGTGGCCTCATGCGGTGACAGCCAGGGACCTCCTTCCCACTTGCTTCCTGGATGAAGCCCTACTATCCACCAACAACCATCTCTTGCAATACCAGGCAAGTCATCTGTCAGTACGTCTCTGACTCTCACGTGGCACTATCTTGGGAATGAGATAAACAAGCTGACTATTTACAGTGATAGGGCTGTGTCTGGAGAGGCAGTGGGGTGACCCCGCTCCTGGGCAGCTGCTAATGCTGCCCTTTGGCTAGAGAAGCTTGACCGCCGAGCAGACCTCAGCACAAGGTGGGGCGGGGGTGGGGGTGGGGGGCCAGTGCTCACCTGCACGCAGCCCCTGCACTCTGTGGAGGCACTGCCCCGTGATGGCCTGCAGCCCCTCCAGGGTAAGCAGGCAGTGGTACTCCTGCATCCAGTCAGCAGGGTCTACGCAAAAGTCAGGGAGGGCAGGCCAGGTCCATGCCAGGTCCAAGCCCTCCCTGCCCCGAGACACACACCAGGGCCCACTCACCTGCCGAGAGCTCTTCCTCCATTCGCCGTCTCAGCAGGGAGCAGGCCTTCTGCAGGAGCCCCACCTCCGCCTCTGCCTCTGCAGCACTGAGCCCAGAGCCGGGCCAGCCTGACTGGACACGGGTCATGGAAACTCCTCTGCAGCCAGGTTCCCTCCTTCCTCTCCCACCAAGGATAGGACCCCAGAGTGGCTCTGGCCCTTCCTGGAGTTGCTCCTTAAACTCACCAGGCTTAGAGCCAGAACCCCCCCCGCCCCCAGGGGTCCCACAAGCCCAGCAAGAATACCGTCATCTTCATTTTCTGGAGGAACTGGGTTTTGGCCGTGGTAGCAGCATCCCTGGAGTCACTGGTCTGTGTAGAGCTGAACTGGGCCCACAGGCTGGAATGCAGGCACCCGGGAACCAGAGGGGGATGCCGTTAGTCCTTCCAGCTGGGCCTCAGGAGGCAGGGAAAGGCCAGGGGTAGGGGCCCCATGAGGGGTGTCTGGCCCTGCTGAATGCCAGGAGGCGCCTCCAGAGGCCGTGGGGAAGGGAGAGGACGCTGTCCGTGAAAAGGGGACAGAGCGGACCCACTCTGGGAAGTACGAGGAGAGAATTCAAGGCAGGAGAGGAGAGGAACTAGCAGCCCTGGGTCACTGGGACTAGCTAGGACTCTGGTAAAGAATTCTGGAGCAGACACAGCACTAACCACGAAAGGCACTGCCTTGTTTAACCCCTCCTGCACCTCTACGGAGCTGACACTCACCCTCACCTCCACAGAGAAGACAGATGGGGACGCAAAGTCTCCCAACCTCAAAGCCCGTTGAGTCTAAGTCCTAGCTAGGCAGACTCTCTTAACATGGAAAGTGTCCGCACCCAGCCAACAAAGCAGAGGGGCCTGCTGGAAAAGTCTTACCGATGCGGCCCTGTGCTGGTGGCAAGCCTAGGCCTCCCTGCTCTCCCCTCCACCCCCACCCAGCCGAGACCCAGCCTTACCGGGAGTTCTGGGAAGCCGCTTTCCTGTAGGCCATAGGTAGCTTCAGCAGGATGCTGTCAGGGAAGCCAGTGCTCAGAGTAGCCTCACTCTGGAGGCTTCTCCCCCCACACAAGCAACAGGGCTTCCAGCTTGGTTGTGGGAGCCAGCACAGTCCAGGTCTACCCTGGCCGAGAGAAGAGAGGACACCAGGAGCAGAGCCCAGGCCCTCCACAGCCCATTTGGAGCCCCTGGGCTGAGTGGATAAGAGGATGGGGCACTGGACAACCAGGGAGAAGGGGGCAGACCCCAGCAATGGTCCATTCTGCCAGCTTTGGGACATGGATCTCATGGGATGGCACCCTGGGGGCTTCCCTGGCCCACATCCAGCTCAATGCCCTGCCCTCCCTGTCATCCCAGCTTCCTGCTGCTGGCCAGGATCTGATCAGGCAGACACAACAGTTCCTCCAGGAAGGGTCTGGGAAACCTACCCCTTCTCCTTCAGTGTGAAAGCTTCTGGGGCCTGAGGAGCAACCGATGGGGGTATCTGTTGGTCCCTGAGGTCTGGTCCAGGCTTGGTGGCTCGGGTTCCTCTCCCCATATGGGTGCGATCCCCCACTGATGGAAGCCTGCACTCAGGGAGGCCCCTGGCAGGCACCGTGGTCTGGTGGGCGCCCCTGGGTGGTTTTGTCTCTGAGGCTCGACTGCCAGCCTGGCTGGAGGCCCGGGACGGGGCAGAGGCTGTGGTGGCAGAAGCGGCAGCGGACCCAGACTTGAGGCTGAGGGCCTTGTGTCTTTCTCCAGCCTTAGACGTGCCTTTTCTCACCCGTACAGCCTTCTCCAGTGCCTGGGTCAGAAGCTCCAGCTCCTTGAGTTCTTGAGGGCTGGGTGTGCATGCTGCAAAACCCAAAAACTCTTGCAGTGGTCACTCACCACTGCTTGTCAGAAAACAGAGCAGGGGCGGCACCAAGAGAAGGTGAGTGGTGGAGGTTTACCGGGAGGCGGGGCCTCTTCATTAGGTTCTGGCCCTGGGGCTGGCTCCGCAGCCGGCGTCTCGACTGGTTCCCTGCCAAGACACAGTACAGGCGTGGCACGGCCGAGAGGCAGGGCCCAGAACCTACCGACCCCAAGGAGCCGCCTGGCCTCGCGGCAGCTCCCCACCCTCAGAGCCTGCAGACAAAGGGGAGCACAGCTGGCAACAAGCAAGTGGGCGCTGGGCCCGGGCTCGCAGCTGGGGGGCTCTGAGCGGGGTTCCGAGGGCGGCCTCGGGGTCCGCGTACCAGGTCCGCAGCAGCCGGCGGGAGACACACAGGCTCCGCTCCAGCTGCCGCTGTCGCTCGGCGCAGGCGTCCCGGGCATCCCGCAGCTCGGCCACCAGCCTGGGGGGGGCGCACCGGCGGCTCAGCACCCCGGCCGGCCGAGCGCTGCGCCCCCTCCCGCCCCGCTCCCTCCCAGCGCGCGGGTCTCACCGGCGCGAGCAGCCCGCGGGCAGCATGAAGGCAGGCGCGGATCCTCCGGATTTGCCGCCTCCGGGAAGTCAGGTCCTTTCCGGGCTAGGAGACCGCCCCCTTCCGGCCGGGCTACCCAATCCCGAGCCCAGGGCTCAGGGCCCGCCCCCCCGGTCCCGCCCCCGGCGCTCGGGCTCCCGCGTCCCCGCCCCCAGCGCCCCGGCCCCGCCCCCGGCGCTCGGGCACCCGCCGCCACTCCCGCTTGGAGCTGGGCCCGGGGGTCGCAGAGGGTCCTCCGGTGGTGCACGGACACATCTGGTTTGGACGACTGGGTAGATGGAGGCACCTGTGATTGCTTACGGTTCAGTTTGTCTTTGTCCTATTGAAGGCGCCCTAAAGCAGGGCCGAGGTGCCCTGCGGACCCCAGGCCACCTAGCACGGGGCAAGGTACTTGGCGGGGCCCAGTACGTATTTAAATATAGAGGTGAGGAGGACACGTGTGTTGGGGGCAGAGCAAGGGAGGAGGGAGCGTTCGCTTGTGGACATCCTGGTGAAGTGACGACATTCGGGGTGGCATCAGGTAGGCACCTGAGCAGAGGCACATCAAAGTCCAGAAGACCTGGGGTGGTGGCCTGAGAACAATGGGCTGGGGCCAGATGGTCCAAGGTGGGACAGGAGTATAGACAGGGACTGGTGAAGGATGGGTGATGGAAGGGGAGCTGGAGCCCAGAGAGGTGGAGGGGACAGTAGAGCCAGGTGTCACAGAAGCAACCTGAGGCTGTTCCAGGAGGGTCTCCACAGGTTGGAGGATGGGGCCTTCAGTGACTTAGACAGCTGGGGGACAGGTGCTAGCTGGGAGGAGTGATGAAGGCAGCAGGGCCCCATGTAATTGGAGTTAATAAGTAGGACTGTGAACCCTGCAGGGGCTGAGAAATCTCAGGGGGAGCTGCACGGATGACAAGCTGGGGGTGGGGGAGGTTGCTTCAAGATGGAGAGGTGTCCATTTCATAGCTGCTCGGGGGGGAGCTGGGGGCCCTATGCCGCTTGGGGCTATTCCAGGGTGGGAACTTAGGGTGGGCCCGTCCATGGGCAGTGGCCCGTTCTCATCTGCAGGGAGGAAGGGAGGGAGAGGCTCCGGTCAGCACAGGCAGGTGGCATTAGGTCCCCACTGGAGTGGTCTCCTATAGGTGCAGGCAGGGAGAAGGCAGAGAGCCGGGTCCATCCAGAGTTGAGCTTTTGACAGTGGGCCACAGACAAGGAGGTGGGCAGTTCAGATATGCACATCACTCAGCTGCCACTACCCTCATCACATTTAATCCCCACAACACCCCTGTGAGGTAGGTACTATGGCCACATCTTACAGATGAGGATACTGAGGATCACACATGCCCAGGGGCACAGTTGACAGGAAAGATCTGCGATCTCAACCGTGCCCCACCAGGGTGGTCAGAATTCTCTTACAGTAGCAGGAAGACAGCTCCCACAGCCACACCCACACACACCCACACCCACGCTTGCACACACACAAGCACCCAGAAAAGCTACCACAGAGTATCTCTTCCTTCCACAGAGCTCGGGTTCAAGAGCATTTGGGGGATGGCTCCTGGCCCAGTGGTTCTTTCTGACGTTCCGAGAAGCAGCAGAAGCTATCCGTGCAGGGCACGTGTCTCAGTGGTCCACCCGACCGGGGGGTGGTTGGGGTCAGTCTAGAGCAGATCCCGCTGGTGTTTTGGCTGCTGTACCCAGGAGGTGGCAGGTGTGGGGGAGCCTCAGGAACCCACAGCAGATCCACCCTCACCCAACAGGTGGGGACAGGTCCTCTGAGTCTCACTCTTCTGCACTGTGGTCACCTCAGATGTTACAAATGACAATTTTTTTCCATCTAACCTCTCTGGGAAGAGTGTCAGGATAGCACTGAGGGATCTGAATCAGATGTTCCTTTTTTCTTTAGTTGAGCCTAAATAAAGTTAAGAATCTCTTTTTAAAATTTAATGCCTTCTATCTTTAATTTTTCTTTTATTTCCATCTTAGAAGAACAAAGAATGGAAATAGAGAGGAAAAGAAATGGCCTAGAAATTCAGTGCAAAGAGAGGTGTTCATACGGACACCACCTGCTGGGGACAAAGACCAATCACTCTGCAGGAAGGGACAGATTTCTGAAGGAGTGGAGAGTGTGGTGGGCAGGGAGCTGAGGGCCAAGAAAGCAATTAGGGCCCCCCACCTGGCGGTCCCATGCAGTCCACAGCAGTGTGCAGGGGCATGGCTCCCTCAGCAGGGGACCTGCACCCAGTGAGGATGGGAGCGGGGGGGGGTTGGGGGTGGAGATATGAGGACGGAGGTGCGCTCAGACCTGTCAGCTCCCCCCAGAACCCAAAACCAGAGAGATGCCGGGAGGGGAGCTGGGCCAGGCCACCTGGTCCCACGTGTTCTCAACTGTGAAAGCTGTCGGCTCCTGGGATGGGGTTCAGTGGGGCTGGGGAGATCAGGACGTGGGCTCAAGCTCCCCAGAGAGAGGACAGACACAAGAGGGGACAGAGAAACGGGCTTCACAGGGTGTGGCATGATTGCTTTGAGGCTAAGCTTCCCAAAGGGAAGAATCTGAGTTTTTGTTCTGATTCAGACATTCTGACGGCTCACATGGGACTACCCTGGAGAAAGAAACTTAGCGTCCCGTGTTCTCTCCGTTCCCTGTGCGAGAGCCACTGGGGTCCACATGGCATCCATCTCCAGCGCCCCCACGGCTCCCTAGTGCAGCGGCAGCCCTCCCTTAGCAAATGTTCCCTGCAGGAAGCACGGGCACACTCACAGCCTCAGCAAGCCCGGCTCAGGTCCCTCTCCTCCTCCTCCTCTTCCTCCTTGCTGTGGGTGGATAGGTTTTTCCTCTTCACCTGGGGAACGCTGCTCTCCAGAGGGTTTGGAGAGCGACACTGTAAACACGACTTCTTGGCATGGTGGTGGCAAGGCTGTGTGTTTGAGTCGCTGCCTGGGGACAGCGCTGAGGTAGATTGGGGAGGGCCCCCTGAGATGCCATCCACTGAGTTTGTGGGACTCGCGCTGCTGATGGAGGAGTACCCTGAGGTCACACTGTCCCTGCCTGGCTCCCTTGTGCTGCAGAGCCGAGGCTCAGGCCCTGGCGTTGGAGGCGTCTGGGGGCCTGGTACCCAGGTGTGCGGGTCCTGGCGTCCCCTGTCCTCCGGGCAGGCCTCCTCATCACTCGATTCCTGGCAGCAGTGCTGTTCGGGGCTCAGATAGACCACGGTGACATCGAGGATGCCGCTGGGGGCCGTCACTGTGGGAGACATGGGGAGAGACATGCGACCACAGCCTGAGCGATGGGGTGCCCCCCTGCCCAGTCAGGACCCCCAGTGGCCCAGGGTCCAGCTCTTGGCCAGGACGGGCGTGGCTCTCACTGGACTGTCCCCTGTACTGCTCTACTTTGGGTAAGAAATTGAGGGTGGCACTCAATGTGATTTGGAGGAGCGACTACAAACTAGTTACCAATAATTCACTTAATCCCCAAGTGGACACAAAGCAAGCAATTGGAAAGTTGATAGAAACTGCTTCAACTAGGCTTCCTTTGTGTTTAGCTGCTCGAGAGCACAGGGGCAGAGCCTCCCACAGGCAGCTCTGGAGGGGTGCACAAGGAACAGAGCCCAAAAGGGCAGTGGGTGGCACATCTCACACAATGTTCGAGAAAGAACTCCTTGTGAATTCCAGACAAGGTCTCTTCTGCTTCCCTGCCCTGGGTGAGGCCCTCCCACAGTCCTGGCTGGGGCTGGACACAGGTCTTTTCTCCCCGCTGTGGGCTGGGAGAATGCCCACCCTGGCCCCCGACTGCACTCTGGTGTTCTAGGGGCTCTGCTGTCTCATGCCTGCCTGGGTGTGGACCCCCCCTGCCCCCTCGGGGGCATCTGGGCGGCCTCCAGGCCGTGGCACTCACCATCACCGTCCTTCTCACCCTCGCTTTCCTGGTCACCCTCGTAGCCAGAGCAGTAGTCCAGGCTCCAGTCCAGAAAGCTGCCCAGCAGCATCTCCTCCTGGCTGGACAGCTCCGCGGTGGGCGTGGTGACGAAGCTGCCCCTGTCCTCCTGGAGGCTGTTCTCCCGCTTCCTGCAGGGTGGGAGGGCCAGGAGTCCGGTCATGGCTGGTCCTCCTACCCAGCCTGGTCCTCTGCACTTGCCCGCCCTGGCCTGCTGTGCTGGGTGCGGGGAAGACACAGCTACCCAGCTGCCTGCCCTCAGGAAGCTCGCAGCAAAGCTCCCAGAGGCAGGGCCGGCAGCACAGTGAGGGTCTGCGCATCTGGACTTGGCGGGTGGGTAAGGTGGGGAGGGCAAGTCATTCCAGGTGGTCGAGCCAGGACACTGAGATGGGGGACACGCGTGGGATAGACTCGGGAGACGAGGGGGAGACGGGGCAGCCCAGGAAGTACAGAGGGACAGGGCCGGGAGTGACAGCAACACCGTGGAACAGGGTGGCCTGCAGGTGCCTGCGCTGGGCTCAGCCTGTGCTTGAGACCACCTTTGCTCAAAGGGGCCAGGTTAAAGCAAGAGAGACAGCTGCACTGGAGAAAGAGAACAGGGTGGCCAACAGTGGAGATCGGGCCCAGGAACCAAGGCCTGGATTCAACCCCAGCTTCCGTTTTTGTGGGACCTGCCACTTCTCCCTGCTACATCTTAGAAGCCCCCTGTGTAAAAGGGGGTAACGGAGCCCCTCAGACAGCACGCACTGTTTCAGACACGGGGCTCACTCACCGCTTGGTCCTCCTTCCTGAAGGAGAGGTGAGGAAGGCATGGATGTCCCCCGTGCTGAGGAAAGACGTGGGCTCCGGGCTGCCCTGCTTCACTCCCAGAGCTGTGCACAGCTGGCCGTAGCTCAGTACCTGAGAGGAGACCGGGGTCAGAGGGAGGGACGAGGCCCAGAGGGGCCAGCATCTGGGGTGGGCAGTGGGGGCACGGGCACCTCTTCCTGACTGATCTCTTCGTAGCGCTTGTCCTCGAATCGCTGCTTCACGGCGGTCAGAGACACTTGCCTGTAGTCCTTGGGGGCGTCATCATGAAAGCTGCAAACAGAGGGACAATGGGGTCACATGCAGGGCTCCAGGGCAGGTGACATCGT